CAGGTGAGGCTTTAAAGATGTCTTCTTCTCTGATTGATGTTTCTGGTCTGTCTCGTTTCCTGGATACTCTTTCAATCTGTCTGACCTCGTGTTTATCAATGACCTCTGCAGATTCTCCCTCTGTGATGTAGAGCTCTGTGTAGATCTGATTCAGAAGGGTTGGGTTTCCTGCTTTAGCGATGCCCTCAAACACACACTGGAACCTCTCCTTTAGTGTAGATTTGAGTTTGTGAGGACAAATAGCATCTAGAAGTTTTCAGAGAATAAACAAACAAACAAAAAAAGAACAACATAAGGTACTTGTTTACTGTTTTAATAAAACGAATAGACAATTTAAATTCCATATATCATCATTCTTATGTGTTGGTCTATGTAATTTGAAATTAGTATATTCTTTATTGAACACCAGCAACTTAAATCTTTAGAGGAATCCACTTACTTCTCTGCAGACGGTCAGCCAGCTCATCAAGCTTCATTCTTCTCATGAAGTCCAGGGTGATTTTCACAAATGCCTCTCTGCTGCTCCTCCTCTGATCCTCCTCCTCCTCCCTCTGTCTCTCTAAGCATTCTGGGTAACCTGGACTCAGAACCTTCTGTATTTTCTTCAGCTCGTTCTTCACAAAATTGATTATGTTGTCCTCCAGCAACTGGAACAAAATACTTCATGAATGACCCAATCAGACTGAAATCATGGAGCCAAACATCAGATTCATGTTGGGCGTACTGACATTCCAATGGTCTACAAAGAGCAGCATGGAGATGACTGAACTCAATACATGTAAAAATAGTTGTTGTACATGTACAGACCGTAAATATGGAGTCCAGCTGTGTTTGATGCTGCTGGGCAGACTGACCACTGGAAACCTCTGAGCTCTCCTGATCCACACTGTGGAGGAATCATGAGGAATTAGCTCACATGTCTGTCCCCAGAGAGACAAAGACCGGAAAAGACACATAGATGCTTCTCGTGAATAGAAATTAATTCTTAAACTATATTTAGGTGTTCAGCCAAACTGCTGGCTATTCTGACATCAAAAGCAAATTGGAGCTTATAGTGTGTCTAGCTGATATTTTGAATACAAGTTCCTTTGCGCCTGTTGAATTAATTTTTCCTGTGATTAAGCATATTTTTATATGTGGCGTTTAATTCTTCAGAGTTTTTGACTTCTTTTGTCAGAGCTCTTCTCTAAATACTGTCCTAGATTTAACACTGTCCGAGATGCTGGAGTTAAACTTGTGTTTAGTGCCATCCTTTGGTTGTACAGAACATTTCACCAGATTGGTTGCTGCAACATACTTACAGTGGGATGCAAAAGTTTGGGCAACCTGGTTAATAGTCATTATTTCCCTGTATAAATCGTTGGTTGTCACAATAAAAAAAAAACAAAAATGTCAGTTAAATATATCATATAGGAGACACACAGTGATATTTGAGAAGTGAAATGAAGTTTATTGGATTTACAGAAAGTGTGCAATAATTGTTTAAACAAAATCAGGCAGGTGCAATAATTTGGGCCCCACAAAAAAAGGAAATTAAATCAATATTTAGTAGATCTGCCTT